TTGTGATGCCCTTGTTCTTTCTCAATTTATTCATTGTAGTAGTGTCTATGTACCGTGTCTGGATAGTGGTGATCGTTATAGAATTCAGAAAGTGCAAAATTCGTGTTTAAGACTTATATATGGTGTTAAAAGACGTAACCATATTTCACAGTATTTGTCCGAGTCGGGATGGCTAAATATGTTGAATAGATTTAAACTTTATCGAGCCACATTTTACTATAAAATTTTAAAATACAAATCTCCACCCTATTTATATGAGAAAATAACTTATCGCACCGATATACATAATGTGAATCTACGCAGGAAAAATACTTTAAGAATACCACAACACCGAAAAGAAATATTTAAACGTTCATTTTCTTATAATGTTCCGAATTTATTAAACTCTTTAGACTTTTCAAATATTGAACTGTCATGTCATACTTTCAAAAAACAATTTAAAAAATATTTACTTCAGTCTCAGTAAATAAATTTAAACAAAAGTATCTAATAATTGAAAAAAATGAAAAAATAAAAATAAAATAAAAACACCACTCCGTAAACATTGCAATAGCCCCTCTATTTCCTATTTTTCCTACCATTGTCCTCTCCTTACCCTTAAGAATTGTGTTTGGAATCAAAGTAATTTTTAATAATGATAGATCGTGTAGTTGTATTTTTTTCTCGCAGTTAATAATGTTTTAAAATTGATATAATATTAGATTGTCATTTTAAATTGAGGCCTGAACAGTATCTGGAACTTCCAGATGTCTGCATATTTATTAAGGCCTATTGTCGGCTATAAATGCATGTGTTACTTTTAGAATAAAATTGTAAACCATTTTTGTAATTTATGGCATTATGACAATAAATGTATTATTATTATTATTATTATTATTAATAGTTTACTTCTCCAGCAATGGAGATGGGTTTCTAGTGATTCCGGAATCTCTCCAGTCGTCCAGACAGATCAAAATATAGCTCTCCGATGGATCCTTATACAAATATTTCTTAACTGTTCATCCGGTGGTTGCAAAAATGCATATCCTCATATTGTAAAAAGGGTCTGAAATGTACTATGACATGTGGGTAGTTTAATAGTGTTGCCTGTCTTTATTCTTAAGACAGTTGAGGATATACAGGCGGATGACATCTCCAAACATGCAGATAAGTTATATTGTATAAGAAGTAGGTACTTAATTAAAAACGGTAATTCCACGGATATTTAAAATAATCATTTTATTACATTTAATACGCACGTATAATATTATTTCTATTAACTCATACAAATTATTGTATGGAATTATATAGTACCTATTTGCACTTCACTGGTATGCTTTTTATTTCTAATCTATTGACTTAGGAATGTTTTAAATATATTTACCAAAATATCCCTATGGATTGTTAGATAATATATATTTGATATAAAAATCCAATAAGCAATGGCCGAGAGTATTTTCACAAAATACCCAGTTATTGAAAATATTATAACTCCGCCACTGGTAAAGTAAAATATAACTGCTAAATCACTACTCTACAAACAAAAAGATTTGGTTCGCAACAGAAACCAGAGTATCATATCCTAGTTAAAACACTATTGCTGAAGCCGAATTTGATTACAGAATTTCTCTATCACGTCAGGATTTTTAGATAAAGTTGAAATATATATTTTATTCTCCAAAGATTTTTTTCAAATTTTTTGGTAATCTACTCTCAAAAACGAATCAAAAGGAACTGGTGTGTTTGACTTATCGATTTATGCATCGTATCAAAATTGTTTACTTCAAATATCTCCAGTTTTTGTGTTCTCCGATTTTTTTATTTCTTAAATAGGCGGTATATAGTTAGGGGTATATAGGCAGTTTATATTTTTATATAAAAAAAATAATGACGTGATGGAGACATTTTATGAATTTATTAGGAATCAGGAATGCTTAATAAACAAAAAATATATGCCGCTGCTGTGTTGCGAAATCCTTGTAAACTAGTGATATTATAGGAAATTTTATGCTCTTCATTTTTTCTACCCTCACATTTTTTCGTGAATAGCTTTGTTTTCAAGATATTGCCAAAAAACTTTAAAAAGTCCTAATTTAACCCTTTTAAGGAGTTGTTTGGGGGTGACAGGCACGGCCGATTAGCGGTGGGGTTTGGTGGTATTTTAAGGACTCCAATAATAAGCTATAAACCAAATTTCAGCTCTAATTTGTTCATGGTTTGAGAAAATCGACCTTGGGCTACAAATAAAAGCTAGAATATTATGGTTGGGTGCTTGGGTGGTGGTAATAAAGCTCTGACCTTCCACACAGTCTCAGAGTAAAAAGTCTACGACCTAGACGGACAATTCATGTCACATCATCATCGTTATTGTCAGCTCATCCACAAACTCATTCTTCCCTAGTTTCTCAACAATTCTTTTCATGCCGTTCATCTTACAAATTGTTCTCCCTCTAAATCTCAACGCGTCACGACAAGTCCTGATGATTTTAGAAATAGAATGGCTCCCACAGCATATCCCTTTTGTATTTTCTCTTATCCCGAAGTTTAGAGTTCTTTCTTGAATATGGTGATTCCCAAATCGATCTTTACATCTTTTGCAACCTGAGAGGCAATCTAGCGGATGAAAAAAATGCATGGCTTAACCTTGCATCTTCGGCTGAAAGAATCAGAAATCTGCATACGAAGAATGAGCTCTTAGTTTCGTTTCCTTCGTTTAAGCTCGTATTGCTTGGGTTAGATTCAAGTGGGATTTTTCTTGATTCAGCTACTGTTATGCAACAGCTGACAACTAAAAGTCTCCGCAGTGGTCGCTCAATCTTGGCTTAGTCAAGTTAGCGTTCTCCTCACTTAGCTTAGTTTTGTGTTTTTTTTTTGCTTTATATCTTGGATGATCGCAATCAACACGTATTTACCACAAAGGTAATCAATTTATTTTATTAGTAAAATGATTTTTTTTTCTTTTAAATGCACAACTTCATGGCAATTCCACTATGTTTGAGCCATATACTCTATAAGATTGAGGATTATTTTTGAAGGATCAAATCTGACATGCAAGACATTTTTTTTTCCAAATGACAAAGTAAGACACTGCTACGAGTGAATGCTATGTAGCCCTTCAGGTATGAGGCTAAGATTTTGTCAATGCCACATTTAGAGAGTTGAATTGGCCTCTGAAATCTGCAGCAAGTCTGAATACAGTCATAACTCCTCCTGAAACGATATCCAAACCAAAGTAAGTGTCTTCTTAAAATGTATTTCTTTTAAACACTTCTTATAGCCTGAACTTTTTCTCTAGTTCAATCAAACGTTCAGTAACTCTAATCTAAAGGCACTTCAAACTGATTTTAATCGGTCACACCCGATTTATTTAAATCGTTCAGACTGAAAGATTGAGGCACAATATTACGTCAAACGTGTTGTAACCTAGTTCTTGTAAAAGAATCGTGATAAAATTTTTCGCCGGTACATCGGTACCAGAAAAAGAGAAAGTAAAGTTCTCCTAATATGGGCCTGGTAAAAATTTCTCTTGTAAAAAAGCACTTCTTCAATATAAGTTTTTTGTCTTGTTTCGAATTTGTTCTGGGTCTTGTACCCCAGACTTCCCAAAATAATATGATGATTGATATATTTTCATCCGCGACTCGTTCCATTTTCAGCGAATTGTTGTAAAACAGATCAGCGCTCGATACAAAACAATAAGTTCTGGTAAAAGTACCTCATTTATTTATGGAACAACACGATTGGCCTTGCACAAACACATGGTTGTTTTTAGATCGAATTATTACTCGCCGGCAACCTTTCACATTTCGTATTGCCAATAATGTGCAAATACGTGACGTAAGCTCTATCATATCGATAATAATTATCAATGGTATATTAACTAGCTACTTAGGTCGAGGTATCATGGTGCTAATTATTAAGGCGCTATTAATGCTACTTTGCATAAGTGCTAGTTGCCACATTTATAAAATGTGTTTTCTGCAATTTTGGAGAATGTCTTCTGGCCATGATCGCGACATTTGGAACAGAGGTTAATTTCCTTGGATGTCTATGCAAAGTAGGGTATCTGAATGATAATAAATAACCTTTCCTTCTACTTATGTCTAATATTAATGAGGAATTTTCTGAGGGAAATTAATTAGTGGCATACATAATATAATTGAGTTGTTGCTTTATCTATTTATATGTTGATCTTACGGAGAAAAAAGGTGTCTTAGGCATTCGATGCTCGTTGAGAACAGAATTAATTAAAATGTCTTTTGATAAGGTATCTATTTATTGTAATTCCGGCTTGTCCATTTCGGGAATATAAAGCTGATTAATCACGTGGTTTGCATACCGCTTGATTGCAATACTGCTCAAGAAGGGCAATTTAATTAGGTTGTTGAAATTCAGGCGTTGACAAAATTTTTGAAATGCTTGTCGTCTTTACTTATTGCTTACATTTTACTTTTTAAATTGACTTTTATGAAATTGTATCTTCACCAAAACCTAAAATAGTAGAGCAGTCCAGCAGAAACATAGAGAAGTTGTTGCTTTAGTGTATAGAAGAACAATCATATAAATTAATTCTTCTCCTAGTCAATTATCGTACATAAAAATTGAAATAGGTCTTTGTGTAAGCAGCGGTTTCTTTATGTAAAGGCTTCTAACAAATTAAATCGTTTTATAGTATTTTCATCAACCTTCAAATAGATTCAATTCCTTGCCATTAGCCAACTATAAAATACCAGGCATTAAAATCAAAGCGATTGCATTAAAGTATAAAGTATACAAGCATCAGTCTTTTCGCTTTCAGCATTAAATACATCGTGGGAACTCAAAATAATAATAATAAGAAGAGCAACTTTTTCCTAGCTCAACTATATTAATCAGTCAAGCTATTAAACCGTCACTTAGGATGCTTGTCTCATCGCATTACATGTAGATGACTATCTACAAATTACAAAACGAAAAAATGACCAATTATCTCTAATTAACGTTATGGTATCTGACTTCTATTTTCTCTTTCTTTTTTCTAGCGAAAATGAAGATAATTCTTCCGCTAGTCGTTTGGACGTGGCTGCACTTCATAACAACAACGGTAAGTTTGAAGTTTTCTGTTTTCTTATGGTTGTGGGTGGTGTAACTAATGGAACAAATACTGTTATAAATTATTCTGCCTGATTAGAGGTATCTATAAAAACGATGATCTGATTAAGATCAAACCAGAAATCATAAACTAGCTCTATAACAAAATCTTGTACACTAGATGCCTCAATAAAATAACCTATAATCTAGAGTTTTAATAAATTTTAATTATTGCAATACATAATTAGAAAAGGTTGAGCTAATTACGTTGTTAAGCGTCTATTACCCGAAACCAAGTAGATGGTACCACCATTACGAGTATGAAAAATAAAAAGAAATCGGTGTAAAGAAGGCATAATTGTACGCCAAGACATACTTTCTTGTACCAGCGTAGAATCCTCTTGACGTTTCAATGGAATTAATGCGATCTTGTTCAAAAAATTCGATAAATCCGTCCGGAGTTATGGTTTTTCTTGCACGGTCGACTTCTTTTTCCTTTTGGGGTAGACTGATGGCGTATATACCAAGTGTTTTGCACGTCCGTAAAGTCAAATCGGTTAAATTGCCTGTAATTATAGACAATTGAATACATTTTACGCTAATGATCGATAATAACTACCTACCTTTTTGTATTTTTGAATGGTCTAGCTAATCACTACCAAACTTAACAGATAGGTATATCAAAAAAAATCTTTCCGCAATATTTATTGGAATTAAACTTCCAGTCCATGCCTTAAGCGCACCAACAGTGAAAATTCAAATCGTTTACGAAAATAAATTTTGTATCAGTACCGCGGTGGTTATATTAAAATATTCGTTACACCTTACAACTTGTGGAATATTACATTGGATTACATGCTACATTACAGGCGCGGCTTGTTAAGTTAAAACGCACCTTTGAGTAAATTCGTCAGACAATAAAATCGTATTCGTGCATGCGGATTTGGAGATATACAGTGTGATTTTTTAAGTGTGCAACATATGGAGATTTTTTTTAGTAATAGCACAACCCAAATACAAACAAGGCCAAAAGTTGGTGCATGTCTGATAATCATACTTATTAGGTGCACTTAGAATGGTTGCAAGTCAAACAGCATACAGGGTAGCTCAAACAATATCAAAGCTGTATTGTAAAATACCCTTATTTTAGAAAATCCAGCAAAATGTTATAGGGAAAAGTTCGAAATTCATGTTTGTTGCAATGATATTCAACACAACTTTGAAATGTCGCAATTTTTTTTTTAACAAGTTAAAACATTACTAATGATAATAGCCATATTAAAAAAACTCTCCTCAAAGTGCAAAAGTTTTATTTTATTTAAGTAAATTTTACTACAATTTTGATATTTTTTGAGCTACCCTGTATGCTGTTTGACTTGCAACCATTCTAAGTGCACCTAATATGATTATCAGACATGCACCAACTTTTGGCCTTGTTTGTATTTTGATTGTGCTATTACTAAAAAAAAATCCCATATGTTGCACACTTAAGTAATGACACTGTATACTATAAGCAAATATATTTTTTGAGTCTTCTTATTGATTGTAAGGTTCTCATTTGTTCCTATCATTTTTGTGTTGTTCTTGCTCCAGTTAACTAATCCATCGCGTTTGCAAATGTGTTTCCTTTTCAGCTTCATGGTTTTGGTTGTAGGTGCATTATCCACCAATGTGAGTGAAGAGCGTTCTTTCGATTATAGCTGCATTTGTCTTGCACTGAGGATCTAGGTCTAGCATCCGCGGTTAGACTTTGGAAGCTTATTGGAGATATTCCTGGCAATAATTTGGCCATACGTTGAGAGTGATGATATTTCTTGGTAGTTTCCACAAGGTGCTTTGATGCCTTTTGCAAATATAGTGATGATAGAGATATTACGCATCGCAGATCTGTGGAAATTATCTCGATATTCCTTTTTTTGAGAATAATGTGTATTCGATCAACGCATTGCCGCGCACCTTGAAAAGCTCAGCATAAATTCTGTCGATCTCAGCAGCTTTATTCGTCTCTAGTTGGTTGATAGCTGCTTCAACCTCTTGATGGGAAGGAATATTTTTGAGTGATTTTTTGAGCAAGGTTTTTGTATTATCCACTCTGGAGTTTTTGGAAATGCTTCTTCCATTGGATCCTCTACCGGATCACAAAAGTTTTGGACATTTGGTGAAGGGGACTACTGATCGCTTTTGTGGTGGAAGACTCTGGTGTTTTAAGAGGCTATTAAATGTTGCAATTTGATTACCTTCGGTGTCTACTATTCGATTCTCATCAGTATTCTTGTTCTTATTTGTACTGCACCCAGTTCTGACCTGGAATCAGCCATAGTTGCTTTATAATTTTGTTATGTTGTTTACACCATGAGGAGTATTTTTAAATCATACTTTGCTTGCTGATTGGGGTGAGATGGAAGGAACAGCCTGTTAGTTGTATTGTTTTTACCTCTTTTTTATACAAACAGTATAAGCAATTGAATGGGAAAAACTCTGGTTTTGGTTGTTCCTAAATAGCTATTAGATTGTTGAAAGTTGTTTTGACCCCCTCTGGGCTATAGTTATTTGAAAATATCGCAATGCATTCAATCATTTCGGTGAAGTTTTCTTTTATACATTTAAAAATCCATGTCACAGTTAGCAGCACTATTGCCTCTCCATGCAAGATATAGGCTGGGATGCACAAATTAAGAAAAATAACCCATCACGATATTACAATCCGATTAGTTTCCATTTCAGAAAAAAATCATTTTGTTAATGTTTGCTTGCCGCAACATTTTCCTTTTGGAATTAGGTGCAGTCACGTTCCATATCGTGTTCAAACGCTGTTCTTGTAGTTGGAACCAATACCTATACCTACAAGTTCAATTACTGGTTGTTTCGATGCCGATTCCGTTTCAAACAGATTTCTCTCGCCAAATTTCAGTATTCTTTGACATGATATTCGATATTAAATTTGAAAAATGTCAAAACTAGTTTAATTATCTATCGCAAAGCCACCAAAGGGTTCAGTTTTAAAGCCAGGAAAAAGGTGGACTAGCAAACTTATACGCCTTATGGATTTGACAATTTTCGTTCGTTATCACTTACCTATAAATTATAAATCAATCTTTCACAAAACTTATTTTGTAAACTATGCAGCTGAGTATAGAAAAATGAAGGCCAAAAATCTCTAGGGCATTTTCTTATTTCGAAACAGTTAATTCTCGAATCTAACAATGTTATAAAAAACCGTTATGTCTAGTTAATGAGCATCGTTTCCGACAAAATCAGGCGATTCACTCCAGGTCCAAACCTTTGATTAGCATAAGGCAATTAAGAACTTCACATGGGATTTTTTAAAAAGGTGCGAAACGCGCCATTAGAAATATCGATGCGCCGCAGAAACGGCAATAAGAAAATCGATTCATCTCCGCACGGTTTCTCTGTTCTTGGAAGGAATTAATGACAAAAAAATTTGCCACAAGTATACCTGCGACAGAACCGGAACAGATAAAGCCTGTTGGATGAAGAAGAGAGGAAAAAGAGAAGCGTTCTGTCTTCTTGCTTCGTTCTATTTTATTGCTTGCATTGGTGCTCTTCTATGTAGTCAATCGGAGAATGATTGGTATTACAGATTGAATTCTGCTATTGGAATTGGCATGGAATTATGAATGCATTTGCATTGAAGAGGAATGGAATTAACGAGGCTTTGATCTGCTACTGACTGCTAGTCTTTATGGCATTCATTAAATAATAGAAGAAAGGAATAATATACAAAGGAGGACGTTTTAACGAGCTCAAAAGTTATGAACCTTACCAGTACAACATTATATCTCACGAAAAAAATCAAAATCGCTGAGCTAATTGCGTATCGCTATTAACTTGCACTTACTTTAACAACGGATATTCACCATAAACAACTGCTCCTAGTTTTTAAGATGCAATAAAATCCAAATTAATTTTGTGTAATTACTACAGGTGAAAATCGCAATATTATTAGATAAAGTTTATGCTCCAATATATCTTCCGAACAAAAAACTTTGAATTGTGCAATTACCATTTTAAAAGGCGATATACACCCAGCAATTTACGTTAATATGTTACAGGTTAGCCTTGACGTTTAGAACAAAGATGCTTTTAGAGCCGATTGGCTTTTATGAGCCTTTTAGTTTATTTCTTTTTATGTAATATATCAGTGCATCCTATAATTATCAAACAACTTTGTAACCAAAGTACTTTTTGCATACAGCCTTATCTCAAGTAAATTTTTTCGATCTGTGGTCAAGACGTGAAGAAACATCTACAATCCTACACAGGAAATTAATAATTCTTTAAATGAATTGTGGTTCTTTAACGACTGATTCGCGATGGTTTCCTATTTATTTACTCAAAACAATTGAGTCAATAATAGAGAAAAACCCCTACGGCCCATGCTGCAGAAGGCAAAAAGCAATTGCGCTAAGAGTATCGTGTATAATGACCTGCAACCGCTTGATCTGCCATCATAACGCGTACCTACTTTAATATTATTCACATTCTAGTTTCCTATTATTTCTCACCAAAGGCCTTAGAACCAAGATTAATCTCGGGACGCGCGGCTTCGTATTGAAATTCCTTTATTGCATCCAGTGGTGGTACACCTACTTGTGTTGTGCGAAAATTGTTAAACATTTCACAATCATTATCATTGATATATTTTTTTAACAAGATAAACTACAATTGATATTTGTACATTCTTGCTAATCATCTATCCAAAATTATTTGTTTAAGTTTTCCGTGTCTACATGTTTAGGTGTCTACAACTCATCCTCATTTTCAAACCATCAGATGCGTTCCAAGTTCAATCATTCCAGATTCTATTGACTTAACTTCTCTGCCTTTTTTTTAATTTCAAGTGAACCAGTCTGCTGTTATTGGTCCTTCGTCTTCTACGTCATACTGCATTCATCTAGTTCTGGATGTTGTTGAAACTTCTTCCAAACTACCAGCTTCCATGTACAAATCAGACAATCCTCACTTCAGTTGAGGTATTCCTTCAACTACATC